TTGAATTTTGCTATGAACTGGCTTACTTTTGATATATTTGATATCGCTTTACCTACTTTTTTTTGTCTTTTATGTACAGACTTGAAATTTGGACTATGGGTGTAATTTGTGTAATTTTTGATGTTGAATTCAATTTTGATACCAGTTGACCTACTTTAGGTATTACTGACATCATTTGACCTACTGTCTTGTATTTTGACATTCAGATTTTAAATGTTGACCAGGTTTGTAAATTCTGATGTCGAAATGAATTTTGATATCAACTGACCTACTTTTGATATTTTTTTATATAATTTGACTTTCATTCTTGTGTTCTTGACATACAGACTTGAAATTTGGACTAGGGGTGTAATTTCTGATGCTGAATTGAATTTTGATATTAACTGGCCTACTTTTCATATTTTTTACAATGTTTGACCTATTGTCTTTTTTTGAGGTACAGTTATGTTACCATACAGAATGTATAAAAAAAATTGTCCCAAACTGTGAACTTCAAACAACTACACCTTACATGTTTTGCATGTGACATTTTGTGTTTTCATTCAAAAAAAGTTATTAGAAATTGTCCAATCAAAATTAATCCTGCTCTAGTGGTCAGTTGTTCTGCATTTATTCTACATAGTCTCATAGGAACACACTTGCAACATACATATTTTAACAAATCCTTTCCAAAATATAAGGGCAAAATATTACAATTTTTATAGTGAATAATGAAATGATGGGTTAGATGAGTCATCTAGGGCCATCTTAGTGGTCCTATTGTTTATTATGAAGAAAAAAAGCTAAAACAATCAGTGTTGTGAAAGTATATTACTAAAGGGGCAAGTTAAAGTTGACCGAGCTGAACTGCCGAAAGAGCTGGACTTGCCTTTCAGCAAGTTCTTTTGAAAATTAATTTCCAACACTGAAAAACAGTTGTTTCTGGTGAGCGACTCAGGGCCATCATGGCCCTCTTGTTTAATAATTTCATTTTTCTTGCGCAATTCTCTAAAATGAGACTTGGTTTTTCTATATGCGTTTCACAATTAACATTAACCATACCAGGTTGTAAAATAACTTAATTTGGTCCTTAAATCAGTTTTTACCACAACATCAAACTTCATTCAGAATTCATGTCACGTTATTGTGAGCAAAATTCTGAGTTTCCTTTAGATATGAACAAGAAAATGTTTATTACCCCCCGCCGAAAAGACGGATATAGAATTAGTCTCCATCCGTCCGTCTGTCCTTCCGTCCGTCACTCTACATTTTTGTCCGGAGCATATCTCAAAAAGTATCAATTTGAAACTTCATAGGTGGAGGTATCAACTTGAAACTTCATTTGTGGATAAATCATATTTAGGAAAAGTGCAGTGCACAAGAATGATAACTCTACGCTGCATATTTATTTCATTGTTGCCCTTTGTTATTCTTCAAACTCAATTTTTGTCCACAGCAAAAAGCCTTTGAGATATCAACATGAAACTTCATGTGGATAGATCTCACTCAGGAGGTGTGCAATGCAAGAGTGATAACTGTACCATTTCTAAATTTTGAGTTATTGCTCTTTGTTATTTTTCATATTTAATTTTTCACCCGAGTGGAGCATAAATTAACTAAAAAAACAAACTTTGAGATGTCAATGAAATCTTCATAGGTAGATAGATCTTTTTGAGGATGAATGTTGTGCGAAAGAATGATAACTCTAACCTTTATAATTTTTGAGTTATTGACATTTGTTATTTTCTTACTTTTTGTCCGGAGAATATCTAAAAAAGTGGTAGAGGTAACAACTTGAAACTTCATAGGTGGATAGCTCTTTTTGATGAGAAGTGCAGCACACTAGAATGATAACTAACCGTGCATTATTTTTCAGTTATTGCCCTTTGATATTTTTCATACTTAATTTTGTCCAGGGTATAACTACAAAAGCCTTTGAGATATCTACATGAACCTTCAAAGGTGGACAGATCTCACTCAGCAGATATGAAGTGCAAAAGAGTGATAACTCTACCCTTCATAATTTTTAGTTATTGCCCTTTGTTATTTTTCATACTTAATTTTGTCCATAGCATAACTACAAAGGCCTTTGAGATATCAACATGAACCTTCATAGGTGGATAAATCTCACTCGAGAGGTATGCAGTACATAAGAATGATAATTATTCTGCTCTACTACATATAAACATGGCTCTTGTAACAAGTTACATGATTATGATATTTTAAAACCTTCTGAACTAGTTAACATGTCAATTCAAAACAATGCTATTTGGAGATACCTTATCAATATATTTAACTGGGTTTTTTTTTTTTCGTTGTTTTTTTTTTTTTTTTTTTTGTGTGGGGTTGGTTTTTTTTGTTGTTGTTTTTCGCCGTGACAATCATATTGCTGCATTTCCCAGCAATTTTTTACTTGTTATAAAATGTTATAAGTAGGCTCACAAGTGTTTCCTTTTCGGTCTGTTGTCTCTGAGATATATATGAGTGCAGTTATTGTAATTAACTAGGTCGGGTTGTATATTGAAACGTTTGCATAACCTGTAATCAGGATATTTACAACTAAAATAAATCAATTAACCAATAAAATAGGAAAATAAATTGAAAGTTTTCTGATAAACAGCTTTAAAAACTTTCAAGAGCTATTACTGCACAGCTTAAGCATATTTATCGGATTAAGATTCATCTGTCTTCAAAATATAGCAAATAATTCGTTGATGCTATTACATTTGATACAACGTAAAGAAGAAATATATAACTTTTATTTTTGGTTTGGTTTAAACAATACCTATTTCTTCTTCCATATTTTCAAACAAAATTTTGGTACATAGATTGCATCCAGCATTGGGTAGAAAGCTTATAGGAAACTTCCTCCTGAACTTACATTTTTGAATTCGTTTTTAAAGTGACACTGATAGTGGGGTATTCTGTTCAAAGGTGCAGAAAGTTGCGAATTTTTATCTATATTTAACCCTTTCACTGCCATAGGGACGGCTTAAGCCGTCCCTGTTATTTTCGGCGTATTTGCCATATGGACGGCTTTAGCCGTTTCTATAATAATAATAGTAATAATAATAAATTAATAATAATAATAATAAAAATAATAATAAATATAAAGAAAATTATACCATCGACAATAATTATTATTATACTAACAGAATTGGAAACATATATAATTATTATAATACTAATAACAAATAATAATAATTATATTAATTAATAATATAGTAATTTCTTAGAAAATCCTCTGGCAAATAGGTGAACAATAAAACAATAACCCTCTGGCAGCGAAAGGGTATAAACAAATCATTGCAATTATATGTTATCAATATTTCTTACCTTTTATAGTCTCATCCAACTTTATGTTGAATTACATAAATCGGAAAGACATTTTCAAACTTTAAATGATGTATGAGTCAGTAAATAAAAAGAACATTTTTGTGTCAAACTGTTCTGGTAAACAATATTTTGATGTGAATATAAACGAACTAGTACTGAAAGACCTGCACCTGATACCATCAGATAAAAGTACATCATAGCGTAATTAGCAAACATTGCTTAAAGCAATGTAATTTTATGAAGTTAATCAACACTACATAATTAATTGCTAATTGCTAACCAGCGGGCTTTACCTATATATTCTGTTGTTCCTGTTGTTTCTGCTTGTCTGATATATATTTTGAAGAAGAAAAATTAGTTATCAATAATCTTTAACACAAACGAGGCATTTTAACGTTTAAGTACAGATCATTCCTATCTTGGTGCATTTTCCAGGATTTGGCTCGGCATAAGATAAAGAAAGGTTGATAACTGTATTTTTGTATTTTTAAAAACTAAATGACCTTTAGATAACTCATACAGCGCTTCTATTGTTGTTGTTGTTGATGATGCTGCTGCTGTTGTTGCTGTGAAATCCCGGATTTCACAATCCCTATTAAAACATCCTCTTTCCAGAAAAACGTTAAACTCAACACTATCAAAGTTCATCGCAGTCTAAAATGGAGACCATTAACCGTTTCTTATCTGCTATTTTAAATCCGTTTCATCACCGTTAATATTTGCGAGTTTATTGTGTCCTTTCTGGAGCATATTGTATAGCTTTAAGCAATTTCACCTAGAAATAAGACCACGAAGCACAGTAAAACAACTTTTTTAGTCATAAGATATCATACGGTTTAATAAAAACTTCGCAGACACATAGAATATGATAAGTAAAACTATGAGTTGGTGATTTGAAATGGCATGCTGTAATTTTTAGAGAAAAAACGCACACACAATTACACAATACAATGTCTAATGTCATGCCTTGGTGACATTTTCTTTGTAACAAGAATGGCAGTTGGTAAAACTATGTTTGATCAATAACTTTATTGTTGAAATGTCTATTCATATAGGTAACTTGCAATAGTGTGGGTTGAAATGAACATACATTTTCGGAAAAGGTAATTGTATATACATACAGTCAGGACTCATTATAACGACACTGTTGGTTCCCAAACGATATGTCAGTATAGCGAATTTGTCAGTATATTGAATTTCATCATTCTTCATATAATGATATGCTTATTTACTGGTATCTGAATATTATGTATTTAGATCTATAATAAACATCTATTATGAAAAAGATTTTTTTGTTTATGTTTTCACTTTATTATACACATTACATATCATACACATAAAACAACAACTTTATTAAAATTATAACAACTAAAATGACTGTAGTTAAAGATTGATATGAAAATGATAAAACTTTATATAATAAAAAGCACATACAATGATAGGACTTTTAAAAGTTAAATCTTTAAAAATTGATTGCACTTTGTTTGATGTCTTTGTCAATTAACAAAAAAAGTCTTTGATACTTTTTTGAACTTCGTTTGATTTTGTATTGTTTATAGCAGACATCAATGCCCAGGCAGAGTCTAAATATTTCGGATCAAAGAGGGTACCCTGTTGTTCTAAAAAATTTATCACATCGTTCAAGCTATTTCTCGCCTGAACTTTCGTAACTTTCCTTAAAACTGCTACATCAGTGTCTTAGTGTTTGTTAGCAACAACCCACTTTCAGTATGGCTAGATGCGTTGTCAACAAGTAAAACAACATGTTTTCCTTGTAAACGCATAGACTTGTCAAATTGCTTCAACCAATCTTGGAATACAGAGGACGTCATCCAGGCTTTTTTGTTATAAGTGTAATTTACATATATCTTCGGATCAAAAGTTTTACCAAAACATCTAGGCCTGGCACATTTCCCAATTACAAGCGGTTTTTGCTTGTCCGTTCCAGAAGCATTGCAGCAAAGGGCAATGGAAATTCTCTCTTTCGATCGTTTAAGTCCGTAGATCGAACCAGAGGCAAGTGTTGAATTTGGGCCGAGTCGATAAAACAAGCCAGTCTCGTCAAGATTATAGACGTCATCGGCATCATACACCTCTAATAAATCCTTCAGTTCACTGCGACCTAAAAATAAAAGCAAAAGAAAACGTTTTACTCACAATTTCGGTTTTCTTTAAACATGTTAAAATGACACCAAAACTCTAATTAGGAGAGTACTCCGGAAAAGATAACTCGTTACCAATTCCGATTGATTAACTCCCTTAGTTTTTCAATACGTTTGAGTACGGTTTTAATATTAAATATAAATTCATTATTAGAGATGATTTCAATCAGGTTAAGAATTTATTTAATATAATTATTAAACCAATAATAACAATAAAAATCTAACCAGTATTCACGAGAGATAGATCGACGCTTCCTGCTTCTCCGTGGGCTTTAAAGGATTTCAGTCCGTGGCGTTGTTTGAAGCGCTGTACCCAGCCCTTGCTGTACTGAAAGTTTTCTTCGATTTCAAATTGTTGTCCGAATATTTTAGCTTTAGACATTAACATTTCGTCTGATATCATAGCATTTTTACTCCTCATATCGTTAAACCACATGAACAACGCGTTTTCAAGAGTTTCATATTTTCCACTTCGATGACGCACACGTTTTGATTTTGGAGAGTTAGTTATTGTCTCTTTGTTTTTTAAAATGTCACTCACTGTCGATCTCCCTATTTTAATGTTCCATACATTTGAAAAATGAACACTAATATCACTTTGTGTAACATCCTTTTTACTTTCTTTATATGAAATGATTTCGTATTTTTGTTCAAAAGTTAAATTAGTCCGTTGACGTTTAGCTGGAGGTTCTGCCATTATTTTAATAAAAAAGTTGATAAGTGTAAGAAAATTCTGCTGTCAACAACACGTTGGTATTGTAATAAGGTGTAACAACCAATTGACCAAGCTACAATACCTGTTTTAACACCTTTCGACTTTTGTTCACGGCTCAATTATACGCGAGCTTGACTGACCAAGTGTCAGTATAACGGGTACTGATTGTATAGAAAATAACACGTTTGGTTCCCAATTTTATTGTGTCGGAGTCGGAATACGAATTTTCCGTTATAATGGATTATAATTATGTTGAAAAAAATTGGTTCCCACCAATTCACTGTCGTTATTTGAATTTGTCAGTATAATGGATTCTGGTGTATTGAGTCCTGACTGTATTCATTTTTTAGCCGGTGCCTACAGGGAAGCCGACGTTTGACAGTATCGTCCATAAACTTGCTCAACCAAATTAAGTCAGCAACATTTTCAATTTTACTATGTTAGGTGGTCTTTGAGCTTTCTATTTTGTCTTTTTAATTTATTTTACTATTACTGGAACTCTTCGACTCTTTACATTTGAGTCATTTGGTTAGATTTTACGGACGTTTTGACTTTTATTTTTTTCTGTCCTTTTAAACAGCGTATGATCTCCGAACATTTCATTGCATACACTTTTAATAACTGTTAACTGGGAAAAGACGAGGCAATTTTTACACCTTTCTAGCGATGAAAGAAAATTGTATGCTTGATATGTGTAATAAACCCCTGACAAAGGACTAATTACCGAAAGAACTTTGATATCTTATACACTATATGCAATGTTGTTTCTTGAGATTCTGTTAAAACAATTCTTACGTACTTTTACTCTTCTTTGGAACCTGTGTTTTTGAAAGTCATTTTGTATAATTAAATGTACTTGTAAATATATAGTTTAAAATTAGGCTCAGAAGTGTGTATAATTAACTATAATTACAGGTACATTTTAACACATTGCGTTAATTGCTTATCAAATATTAAAATGTACGCGTAATGCGGACATTTGTACCTTTGTGCATCTTCTCTGATATCTTTTGGTCAATTTTGATTTGGAAACTAGTGTTGTACCCGGCATAATTTTATAACCTTCAATAAATGTATGCGATGATAATGATTTCTTATTTTACGGTGCGCAATCAAACTGTAATTATAAGTTTATACCCATGACAGATTTATGAGTTATAATACATATGTAGAATATATTTATAGTACATATAACATTTGTAGGAATATTATAATCAGATATCATACAAAGAAGGGACAAAAGTACATTGGGACTTTTATGTAGGCCTACAAGTACAATTAAACTACTGTTGCATGTGGTGTTTTAGTATCAAATCATTTGAAATGTAATATATGTTAAATAATCTCTTTAAACAGGAGAAGTAATATTTTAGTATTAATCAAAATGATATTAATTAAGTTAAGTAATAATTCTCTCTGTAATGTAAGAAAAATCTAAATATCTTATAAACATTCAAATATAATAATGTAAGTAAAATTTGTGCCGAATTATAATTTAAACAACATGGCTTTTGTTTAATTTAAAGGAATGGTTATTGATATACAATAAGTATATTTTACACTACGGGGATAGATAAAATTCCGGAAAATGAAATTTTAAAACTCTATTACAAGAAATCAGCTCTTTTAAAGTTGTATGTTTATTGTCCTTGCATTAAATTAAAATACGTCATGCGGCGGTTAATATCTAAGCTTCAAGTCTCTTGACCGGATTTTACAAACTAATCTAGGTAGATATGGTAAGCATACAGCGTCAATCATTTTCAATATTCGATCATTATTAACCCGCTCAATAAGTATCATTATTATGTCAATAAATCTCATTCAAAAAATATCAGAACATGCAGGTGAATATTACAAATTCATACACAATCTCAGTCAAATGACTGTTGTCTTATTCCAAATATCAGGTGTTCTGATCTTTCCTACATGAAACTGACGAACTGTTCATTGCTGCAGTCTAGGTTAGGTGTTCCTTTTTGATTCGTAAAGCGCCTTTGATACAATGATACTTTCTCATAAATTTGTGTAATGAATTTCAAATATTGTTACTACGAATGAGGTGTATGCGGAGTGCAAATGTATTTAACTGAAATCCATCTCATCTGAAGAGATATCCAGATTATGAACTACTTTTGATTATTTATTTGGGTATTATTTTACAGGTAATGTGTTTTCCTCATTAAAATTTATTAGACTATAGAATCAACAAAACCGTGCGCACCAATAAAATAATGATCTTCTTACCAGTTGGAATTTGTTACGGGTAGATTCATTTAGTAAATAGGAAAGAGATGCAATGACCATAGTGCTTCTCAATACTGAACTTTCTAACGAAGGAAAACATAATTTGATGAAAAAGGACGTTTGTTAACATGTTATTTACATGATATATGACTGCCTGCATGAAAGAATAACCTGTTTCGACGTCATTTGTTATATGACGTTAAGGGTCGTTTTCTCACGCCGGCGTTCAATTATTCTAAATTCAGAACTAGGTCATTTCTGATTCACGACGATCGTTCAGCACGATATTGTTGATGTGTATGTGGTATTTTAAGCTTTTCGTTCATTCTTAAGAATTTTTACTTAGTCTTTTCACTGTTGACGGTGATATAAAAGGTTCATAACCTCCGATCTTGAATATTTCCATTTTTACTATTTCAATTTTAATTTCTTTAAAATTTATAAGATCTTTGTCAAAATCATTTTTTTGCATATAAAGTTTTAAATCTTTTGCATGCAAAATTTTATATAGACAAAGAGAATCAAGTTTCTCGTGTACATAATTGATGACAAATGTATGTAAGTAATGAAATAAACAGTAGTTCACTTAGCGGTTCAACTTTGAGGTTAAATTTTAATTAAAATAAACAAAACTTTTTTATACAGTAACATACTCATATTTCCAAAGCAATTTCATCACCGTGTTATTTCATTTAAATAAACCATTTGTGGTTTCGCGCTGCAGTTACATTCTCATAAATAAAAAGCGTGGTAAAAATCTTTATCCTGGAAGGTTATCAGGTGTTTTTATAAATTAGTTTCTACTTAATGTAAGTTCAGTGGAACACCGAATATTATGTCAAGATATATAACAGAAAACGTAATGTAAAATGTAATCTCGTGATTAGGCACAATAAAACCAAAACAAATGCATTGCCATGGTGAATTTGTGTTGTTTTCACTAACTTTGTTCTTAGAAAGTATAGAGTTACCTGTAATAATTAATATATTAAGTGAAAAATAACAAGGTATATGACGGGAAGAACTGACAAGTGATCTAACTTATTTCTATTGCATATTGTTTGAAATTCTATAATCACATTTTTTTTAAAATGTGCTTTTAGCTGGATTTGATATCATCACTTTGAAAATCTTTGTCTACACAGAATTGTTTAACCAATTTTCCAAATTATAAAAAATACATGAAATATAAGTGAAAGGGACATTACTTTGCACCTAATACTAATTCTTAGCTAAGAAGGTAAGTTAGTACTGCTGATTTTGGTAAGCTGTTTAATTTCATTCAGCATCAACTGAATAACGGTGAAAACTTATTTTATGTAATAGGGCCGTAGGACAAGAACTAATTGAATGGAGCCCAAATTTTGTACGATCTTTATATAAATACAGCAGTGGTTCCGCTGATTTTAAGTGATATTATGCTCACTTTTGGTTGTCAAGTTGTGCTGGAAAGCTTTATATTTAAAACGATTGCCTATTATAAATGGGTTTGACCCAATAATTACTAATTATAAGAATAAGATATAAACACGCCTTAAAGTACGCGTATAAAAAAGACTGTCCCACACTTCTTATCAGGTGAACGTTACCAATAACTTACGAAGCATATTTATAGAAATTCCCGATGGTCACATGAGTTGTTGATTATTTATATTTAGCAATATATTGATGGATTGAATGCATTTATTACAAAAGTTATTATGACCGTTTCCAGTAAGCTCACCATTTCCACATGGATATGCATAATGTCACTTTATTTTTCTATTTCAGAAGGCCACATTGTGAGATATATATGATTGCAGTTGTATACCTTCTCTGAATAAAGACATTATAAGTTTTATTTTATTATTATTATCATTATAACATTCAACATTATATATGTAAAATATGGTATTATTGATGCATTTTGTTAAAAAATATCTCAGAATCAAAAATGTTAATACACGGAGGCGTACAATATAATACATTGTGACATCTGCATTTGGATAGGAGAATCTATACAAGAATCACTAGCGCAATTGCTTGCCTTTACCTATATTATATTGAAAATAATTTGATGTCAATAATACATAGGAATTTATTTTATTATTTTACAACATTAATTCAGTTTAATATTTAGTATGTTTATTCGTCACAAGTTAGACCTCAAACATTTAATTTTATTTATTTATTTATTTATTTATTTATTTATTTATTTATTTATTTATTTATTTATTTATTTATTTATTTATTTTATTTATTTATTTATTTATTTATTGTCATAAACCTTGTCACTGATCATAAAGTAAAAATTACAAACTCGAATATTGTAGTTTGTGTACACACATGTGGATGAAATATGCCTAAGCCAGTGCTAGAGGACATGGGTGTCAAGTGCTATGTAGCTGTCGCAAAATGTTGTCCGTATTTTAATTTATTGTCATTATAGTTTGCTTGTCATTCGAAAGCGAAGTATTATTGTGTCGAAAAGTGAATATTGCTCACTGTGTTTTGATGCGTGAGAGATGATATTTATTCATTATTTTTCACTAGCAACTTAATGAAACCGAGTAAGGGACATTGTCAATTTTTAACTTTGATTTCATTTCATACATGTATGAGGTGTCTTTTTTTTCTTCAAAATTTTATAGTCTAAACTGTAGATGTAAAGTGCTGTGTAGCAGCTGTTAAAATTTGCCACGTACTTCACTTCTATATTGTTTTATTTTCTGGTTCGTTTGGATCATTAATTCCAA